TTTTTCCTCAGTCAAAAGCATTTTGCTACTTCCAGCCTTCATGCTCTCTAGAAGAAAGAGATGCAACACAGGGGACTGTCACAATCATAAATCCAGACAAGCACTTAAAAATCTGCCTGTTCATCCATCAATTTCAACACACAAGTGCCTGGACAGGCATTCTGAAGTTGACCTGCTGCAGTAACCTGTGTATGTGTGCAGCTTGTTACATGCACCTGGGGACCCATTTCATTAATGGTTAACAAAGTGACCTCTATGTGACAGCAACAAATTCAAGATGGGAACATGGATGCTTTTAAATCTTTTGCATTTCATTCACAACACATATGAATGGTTCTGAGAACTGAGCTCTCTCTCCCATTGTAGTTTTAACTACAATCTTTGAAATCCTTGAGGACTAGGGTATGGCAATTTCTGTTACTTCCCTTCTCTGGAGACCCATATGGTAACTATAGCTAAAAATTTTGAAGATTTTATTTGCAATCTGGGAAAAAGCATTTTAATGGTCTTCTCCAAAACAACCCATCAATTTTTACCTGCCTTTTTCACAGCTATCTTTCTTAAAGAATATGAAACATGACCAGTCATTAACATGACTAGCACAGTAACAATAGAGTGATTAGGTGGCCTGAATAAATAAGGAACAATACTTCCTCAAAATGTTAATCAAATTTCACCAGACCCAAACAACCTGAAGATCTCCTCTTAAAGTACTGACGATACTGGCCAGAATCACTGAGGTTCACAAAGGCCCAGCAAAGTATCAGAAGACCAAAAAAAGGAAAAATGGCATTCCCATCTTCAAAACTACAGGAAAAGAGGAGCAGTCTGCAAAGTAGTCTGCTTAGCATCAATACTCAGTGAACAAAATCCATCTTTTGCAATTCCCTATAAGATAACTAGAGGAAAACAACAGCAAATGTGGATTTGTTAAGAGCAAAGCATGCCAGAATAGTCTAAATGGCCTCCAGACTCATTAGGCTGCCACAGCAGGGGAAGATGCAGTAAATGCCTCGATTTTAGCACCACTTTTGGTCACAAACTGTAAAGTAAACCAGAGAAACTACATTCGGGGATCTATACTGTGGTATTTTTTTAAACATATTGAGTCAGGTAAAGAAACAGATACATTCCTAAATGAGCTTCTATGATTACCACTGTATTGGCTTCCTTGGACTTGAAGATCCTGTACTTGCAGTGGTCCTGACTGAACACTCACCAGAGATATTTTCTGTGCAACACTCACCACAAGGTAGAAACAACATCCTTGGCACAGTGGGACTCAAACAAATTTTCTCTTTGTATGACTTGAACAGCATGCACTAGAGTCAGTGTCCTGAGTGTCATTACAGCAAATCCAACTTGGAGTGCCAGAAAAAAAAAAGATTAAATTCTAGCACCAAAGAGGAAGGGATTTTGTGTTAAAAACCATCAACCCTTATGTCTGGAAGATGCAGTTCTGTACCACATAAAGCTAACAGAGAATCCACTTTCTGATGCATCACTCCTGTGAAAGTTGACAAGAGATGAAGGTGGTAGGACATCAAAATGTACAGCTCAGCAACAATAATACAGCCACTATAAAAGATCATGTGTGGAGACCAGGCAAGGCTTTCCTACCAAAGGGGAAGACTAGGGTAGGAGAATAGGCAGCAAAAAGTTTTTAAAATATATTCTCAGGAACAAAAGCAATACAGGTATTAGAGTATCCTTATAGTAATTGTAATAGTGATAGCTGCTTTGATAGCTACTTACAAAATAAAAATTATGCCAAGGACTCCTGTTTTCTTGAAGGCAAATAACACCCAAATGTGTTCTTCCAACTGAGTGTCTTGAAAGCCATCTACTGATGAATGAGACCATTAAAAGCAAGACATTGCCATTCTTCTACTTCCCCTTTGCAGCCAGGACTAAACCTAATCCATGTTTTATCAGGACACACACCAACAACTGACTGACTCACTTTAGATTAAATTTTCCTACTGACAGGTTATGCCATAGTTGGATTTCTCATGATTTTATCAGTAATTCCCTGGATTACCTGTAGTTGCTATTTTTAAGAGTGTCTCATCAAATAAACAGACTTGATGAAACGACTTTCTATAACCCTGGCTTACAGAGCACTGAAGAACAGTAAATTAGGGAATTTGAAAATAAGCTCTTAAAAGTCAAGATACCCCAAACATAACGAATCTCTCCAACAAAACATTAAATTTCTTCTTAACCACATTTATTATGCCTACAAATTTGTGTGCTAGAAATAATGTACAACGAAATGTACAAAGAAACTTTTCCACAGCATAGCAAATCCAGCACAGTGATGAACTGTGCACCACAGTGAAACAAAGCTGAAACCACATAAATTTTGTCTTCTGGTGACTATGACTGCATTACTGAACACTTAAACATCAAAACTATAAGGGTGCCAGTAGACACACTGCTCAAGCTTAAAGGCAAACATTTTTCCAGCTTAAAATTTGAGTATTCCTTATCAGCAGGCAGCAAATACGTGATCTGTTCCAAACTGTCTACCATAGTAGCTGAACCTCTCCCGAGTCTAGTCTGGCAACAGAACAGCACAAATAAGGAAGATATTTTTTCCCCCTCAATTCTTTTGAAGATGCAGTGCGAGTACCACTTCAATTCCAGTGCAATTCTTTCCATAGAGACACAGGAGGGCACTGAAAGTGAGAGAGAAAAGTGACAAAATCCCACAACACACCAGACTCACAAATTTAAAATCAGAGGAACAACTGAAATTACTGCTGTTACTTGAGGGTGGACGATCTGAAACTACAAAAAATTGGTCAGAGCATGGTGCTCTAACAACACCAGGGTTGTGGGTTCAACCCGCATATGGGGTTTAACTTAAGAGTTGAACTGTATGATTCTTGTGGGTCCCTTCCAACTCAGAATATTCTGTGAACCAACACTAACTTTGTGGTGGCTTTTTTTTTTTTTTTTTTTTTTTTTTATGAAAACATACAAAGAATAACAGGAAGGAAGCACATTCCCAGACCTGTCAAACCTTCAAGACATCATGGCAACAGCAACCAGGTCATAAAGCACCTAGTAAGTAATCTTGACCTGACAGGTGACTCAGAGGTGGCAAAGAAATGCACATCAGAGTAAATATTAAAATACAACATGAGCCATGTTCAGTCAGAGCAGATTTCTTTATTATGCATGAAAAATGAGATTTCTTTGCTGGCAAAACGAAAGCAGGGGAGGGCATCTGCTGTAATAATGAACGGAGCCAAAAGAGTCACCACGTGCAACAGGAAAGACAAGCCCATTCAAATCCTTTCAATATTTTTCAAGGAACTTTTGAGTTCTAAAATAACAAGTGGTTTGAGATGTCTTTTCCAGACCTGCTTTCTGTATATTACAGGGGCAGCATAACTGTTCACATTTTAAGTGTGAAAAATTGAAGATTTAGTCACATGAAAATGAAATTAAACCAAAGCACCTCAAGACATGGAAACACCCAACAAGCTTATTGAGGATGCCATATTGAGATTCTTTAGCTCTTCTATATTGTTACAATTCAATGCAGTCTTATACATAAATGAATTCTGTAACAAAAAATATAAGCAGAAACCTTACTTCTGCTTCACTAACAGGAAGAACACATTTACTAAGTGAACTATCAGTTATCAAAGCTTCATATGGCATAACAGGTTCTTCCTCTTTTGCTTTCACTCTACCTCCTCAATAGAAAGGGGAGAATCAAGGTCATCAGCTGCTTTAGAATATAATGAAATATGCCTTGACTTCTTAATTTTAAGAATCCTGGTTCTGAAATAGACCTGCAATGTGTAATTTACCCAGATTCACCACCATATACACCAACTTTTTGTGCATTAGTGTGTGTTACAGCTTGATGTGCTCAAAATATCAACTCCATGGCTGAGAGTAACAGAATTCACTTGCTGCAAAATCACAGATTACACCATGAAATGGAAAGTAATCTTTGATCTTCTGCTTACCCTATTTCTTTTCACAAGTAACATGAGACATATCTGGCATATAACCCAATCCTGGTAACTATTCTAAATAATGTGCTCCGTTATTGAAACATTCAGGATCTGGATGGTGTGTGAAAAAAGATTTTAATGAAAAAACTAATTGTCCACCTAGGGGAAACATTCTCTAAAAGGATGCAATGTTATAATTCTGTTATAAAATCTTCCACGCATTTTATAAACAAAGCTACAAGCTAGAGAAAAACCTAGATTTCTAAGGCAAGCCATTCATAGATGTAAAACGATGAAGGAGGCTGCCTACAAACACGATATTGAATATATACCTACTTGACCAGGCTGATTGCTTGGGGTTATCTTACAAAATATAATCAAACCAATTAGTTCTTCCTTTATTTCAATTTTCTAATAGAATGGGGGAAGATGTGAGGGGAAAGGCTCCTGATGGGTTACAATGTAAATCCCAAAAGTACTGAATAAATTCAAACACAACACCCCACTGAGGTCGTGTAAGTACCAAAAGGAGGGGCTGACACACTTCCATTCAGACACTCCGGAGGTTTGGCTTTTCCCTCCCTGCTGCAGAAGACAGGTGCATTTAAAACCGCGAGGGAAGAAGCAAAGACCAAGGCTGAAACCTCGCAAACCCCGGCGGTACCTCAGCGCCTGAACGACCCCACTCGCCGGCTCAGGCCTCCTCTCTCCCGCTCCCCGAGGAGTCAGGCCCCGCGGCTGAGCGGAGCAAGCCAGAACCAGCCGGGGAGCGGGAAGGAAGGGCCGGGGAGCGGGAAGGAAGGCCGGAGAAACACGAAGGACGCACGGGCAGCTCAGCTTCCCCGAGCTCGGCTCCCCGAGGGGCGGCAGGAGCCGGCCCGGCCCCGCCCCGCGCCCCCGCTCTGCGCATGCGCGAGCCCGGCCCGCGGCACGGGGCGGGATTGCGGCCGCGGCCGGAGCGCGGGGCTCGTCCCGGGCCGGGCACACCGGGACGCGGCGGGGGAGATGCCCCAGGCCGGTTACCTGGCCGAGGGTCCCGCGGTGTAGGGCCCGGATCAGGCCGCTCGGTGTCGCCATGGCAAAGGCGGGAAGGAAGAGGCGGGGGGAGGGACGCGGGGCAGGAGGCCGGCAGGGTCCGCGCATGTGCTGCAGGCGCGGTGCGGAAGCGGCCGCGGGCGGGGCGCGGTTGCCGGGAAGGGGCGGCGCTGGCTCGGTTTGGGCACGGGCGCTTGTGGGAATGAAGGTCGTCGGTTCCCGATTTCCTTGGTTCCTGCCTCACCTGCGGCGTGACCTTGAAACAGCTCCTCTCAGTCGCGCGTCCCATCCGAAACCTCCTCCATCCCTGCATCCTTCGGCAGCCTGGCCTTGCCCGCGGCTGCTCTTCCACGGAGAGAATCGCACCGTGGACTCTGCCTGTCCTGTCAAACTAACTACAGAATCCCCCCAAAAGCTGCTTTCTGCCCTCAGTCTGCTCTGCCGGAAAATCGAGGCAGAAACATCGCTTGTTGTCCAGCACCTCAGACACAGCGTGTCCCCAAATCCATTCTTTGTGCCATGTCTCTTCCATTGCCCAAGTAACAAAGCCAAAACAAGAAATAGCGAAGTTACTAATGAGGTTTGATGAGTTCCTGAAGAAGTTGTACATCAACCCCCTCCTGTCAGCTCCTCTGCAAAAGGTGCCTGGCCTCTGCCCAGCTTCTTTCTCCCCAGCTCAATTTCTTCCCAGCTTCAGGCTAGGAAGCCACAAAATACTTGTTACCCAGGTGATGTGAACCCGAGCTCTTCTGCAGGTCTGCAAACACGTGGGACAGTGACTGTGGGAATCTGCTCTTGCTGGCTTTGGGAAAACAAACCAGCCATCAGGAAAGTGCACTTGTAGGTCTGTACCAGTGGCACCGTGCATTGGACTGGTGATTATTTCCAGTAGCCCACTCCAACCCCATCACTAAGGATATTATTATGGAAAGTTCCCAACTCTATAATCTGGGTTTAGTAGTTCAACTCTCTGTAAATTTACATAGCTGTTTATTTATTTTCATTTCATGCATTGATTAATGACACTTTTTTTTAATTTTAAAACTGTATATGAAGAGTGCTCAGTACATACAAGTGTAATCTTAATTTACTTTCTTTGTTTTTCTTACTTCACTTTTTTCATTTTCTTTTGAAAAAACGCCCACCCTCATTTTCTTCTTTTCTTCATTTTCTTTCTTCACTTTTACTTATATAAGAGTGTAATCTTTCATTTACTTTAGTATCAGGCACTGCTCTGATACAAATTGTAAAAAATTGACTTTGATTTTTTAAGAACTTGAACTTGAACTCAGAAATTGTATATATATTTTTTTTTCTTCATTTGCATCATCACTATAAATATTTTTCATAATTCAAGCTGAAAACTTCTGTGTGTGATGTTCATCTTTCATGTTTTTATTCCATGTTTCAGCAAAAATGTGTCAGCCTTTTTTTGAGAACTTAACTAGACAAAATGGTGTGAAGCTTCATGTGGGAAACATACGGGAAGAAGCTAAAAAATCAAATATTTTGAGATTTTCTAGTTCTAAGATGAAAAAATGATTGGACAAAAGCCTGTGGCTGCTCCACTAATGTGAGACTGAAGATATGATCTGAGTGGAGCATTAGGCAATACACCTGATGGTGGGAGGGATGGACAGCAGCCCTACCCCCTGTCTCCCAACTAGAACTATTCTCTTTTGGAGACTAAATGGAGCAGGTAGAGCTGTCTTAAACGATGCCATGAAGAGCACGATGCTGGAGACAAATGGAATATAAATTTATCTTCAAAAAGTTGCGAAGAAAATTGATGTAATGTGATAAGAAAATGTTAAGACAATTTTTCAGTTGCAGATAATTCAAACCAAAAATATTTTCTGGTATGTTTGCCAGGGAGAAAGCTTTCAGTATCTAATAAATATCAATATTATAATTGGATTGATTCAAAATGATGAAGAAACAAAGCTATGTAGAATATGGCAATAAAAAAACTAAAGAATTAAGATGAAGTTAATACTACTGAAAAAGCATTAGTGCTCATTTTCAAGGTTATTAGAACTTAATAAATGGAACAGTAAAATTTTGAGACTTTTGTAATGCCTTTGACTTAGTATGACAGAGAATTCTGATAAACATACGTGAAATGGCTAAGGGCTGATCAGATTACAGTACCTGTTGTAGTAGATTTGTATGGTGAGTTGTGCTTTTTCCTGCTCAATGCTACTGCTAGTAGTCTGGAAATAGATTTTGAATAATTAATGTTGAAATGTGCTGTTGACACAAATATTGACAGACTTGTACATAACACTAAAAACATAATGAGCATACAGATAATATAAATCTATTAAAGCAAAGCGTGTTTTAAAATCAAATTCAAACTGAAATGAAAGGTTGAATTAAAGTTGGATTTTTTTTCCTTTAACCAGAACTGAGCCTGTGTTATTACTTTTAAGTCTTTATTTAACCTGAACAAAAAAAAAATCAATACAATATTTACAACAGCTCTTTAACAGAAGAAGAGCCCACTGCTATAGTAGAAATCTAGGCAGGGGTAGAAGAATAAGCATGGGATGTTCTTGGTGCAGGCAGAGAGGGAGAGGAGTGTGAATGTGTGAGGCAGGTGAGATGAGGAAGAGGTTGACTTGAGAATCCCAAAGCAGATGACAGCTTGCATCCTGAGAGATGGCCAAGTTAGGAGAGGAGAGGGATTCACTGCTAATATTTATTGTCCTCTGAAATCTCCTGCTGCTGCCAAAACACCTCTGACCTCTCTCACATATTGTTCCTAGATGCTTTCCCCCTACCCTTATTGTTCCAATACATATTATGAGTACATCCATGACTGCTGAGATGTGAGGAGTTTGCTATGGAGCCCAGATTAGGAAAATTTGATAAACCAGAACTCAGTCAAAATATCACCAGTGCAATTTGCTGGTTTTAATACCACCAAACTAACTGTGGACTTAAAACCAACAGTTTTATAACAAGTGATTCAGATCAGTGTGTGTCCTGTGGGACATGGTGATTTTGCAAGAGATCTAGAGATTGTGTTGGACAAGTAAATCTATTTGCTAATGCTGTCCTGTAGCTCATAAAGTCAAGTTTTTAGTACTGGAGTACCAGTCAGAAATTGTTAAGTCCACTTTGGGTTTCTGTGCTTAAAAAGAGATATTGAAAAATCAGGGAAACAACTACACATGATAGCTGTAAAGTTTTTTAAGAAAAGACTAGACACATGCACAGTTAAGTAATTAGTGAAGATGCAGGAAGTCCTAGAAGCCGAACAGAAAGTCTGAGATTTTTTTTTTCCAGGTAGGAAGACCTCTGTAGCTGGGCTACAGCCCACAAAACTTTTTATTTTCATGAAGCTTTCAAGAGACAGTGCTTTACATAGGAGCGTGTAATATTCTATGATGTGAACAGGCTTCTGGGGATCAGTTAGGGATGTGCAGAGAGATTTTATGCACAGCCTTCTTGTCTTACCTAACACAGAAATTTGGGGTTTGGCAGCAGAGTGTAAAATGGGAGAATAGTTCAAGATGCTGAATAAATTTGGAAAACTTGGCTTTATTTCTTTGCACTGTGAAAAATCATGTGCACTAAAATATTTTTTGTTCCTCACCTGAAAAAATATTAGAAATTCTTTGCACTCCTGGCTAAAAGCTATTTTTTTTTTTTTGTTACTGTGCTTCTAATGTACCATATGCTAAAAGCATGGAACAGTATAAAATATTAGAACATGTCTGTTAATTTAACATGTAAGATTTATGTTTTATGCTGACTCTATTTGTGCTTTATCTCCCATCTTTAAGATAGAGTAACAGGTCTTCAAATCAGCATTGCCAAAGTAATTTCACTAATACTCTTAAATCATTCACATCCTCTGATAAAAATAGCAAAAAAAATTGTAGAAGGAAATGAGTAACTTTCTACTCATTGAAGGGATTATGACAGGAAATCCTATGGTAAGAAAGATTTGGACACCATTTTGGATTAAAAAAGTATTTTAAAAAATCAATACTCAATGAAGCAAGACTTTTGCAGAAAAAGCAGTACACTATGATATAGCTAGAGACAGTATCATCATACTTAGACAGAAGAAGAGAGGGAAATTAATTAAATCCCATAAGAGGGGCTGTCACTCAGTTTCTGAGTGATCATGTATTTTAATGTAGTTTGTGGGAGGGGTAATTATAACTATAATTGTTTTTATTGTTTGCTACAGCATTGCTCAGATACTGTCTAAAATAGGAAGCCTTTGTGCTGTGCATTACTCAAGCACGCACCAGATGACAGCCCCTGCCCCAAATAGCTCTCAGTTAAAAAAAGAGTGAACACAGATCAAAGAGTACGTGACACACGGAGTGATAAATGAATTTGCAGAAATCAATATACAAATATTGTTGTTTTTCAAGTGAAGGTTATCATTAGCAAGGTACTACTTGAATGAAAGAGCAAGGAAAAAGGGTTTAGGCAAGTTGGAGAAGGGAGACCAGGGAGGCTGTGATGTGAAGAAGAGTGAAAGAAGTTTGAACAAGCAGCCAAAGAGCACAGGAAGAAGCCCAGTCAAACCCTTAACACTGTCGTACATAAAGACCTTCACTTGAGATGTGTAGTTTGTTGTAGTTTAAAAAGCACATCTTCAAAATTCTTGAGAGCCAAGAGGTTAGCAGCAAGACTGGCTGAAGAGGATGAATCAATTACTCTTACCTGTTTCATTTTGTATTTTACACATGCTATGGAAGAATCTTTTGGCCAGTTTTGTACATCTGTCTGTTCAGTGAAGCTTTAGCAGGGCAGTCACTTGGAAGTGCTGAAGATATGGCAGAGAGCAGGAAGAAGAGCTGTACTGTCTCTTGTATGCTGAAACTGTTGGTAGTATCAAAGCATTGCTGAGAGCTGTGTCCTCTGAAGTTAATGGAAAAACACTGTGTTGGTAGCCAATGAGAAATAAAAACAACTAGAATCCTCTGAAATCTGTAAACCTTTTCTCCCTATAATATGTTGGGAAAAAGAAATCTTTCCTATGTGTTCTTTTGTATTATCATCAGTTATGGTGGCTGTGTTCTTTACATTCATTTTGAATCTGTGTTTCCTGTCATGAGCAGATTAAAAACAGAAGAGAGTGGAGTGAAAGTTTTCTATTGCAAACATCTGTTTCTGAAAAAGGATTATATTTCCATGTCCTGGAACATCAAGGGGAAAAGCTTGCCCTCCCCAGACACACACCTTTGGTTTGCAGCAATAAGGAGTTTATAGACAAGGTTGCCTTACTACAGTAAATAGAAAACCCATTTCTGTATTTCCGGTGAGTAATCCAGCCTGGATACTTGAAGGAGGAGACCTTCAATTATTCCCAGCAGAGAGCTATCTTATTATATATCTTTAAACGGTTAACAAATTTTTGGATTTAACATAAGCAATGCTTTTAATAACTCCTGTCTTTTGTATCTGAAACTGCGTTTTATATGCAAATATTCTTGTCCAGATAAGTGTTCTTAATGGTGAATGGACCTACTTACCCCATGTAAGTCAAATGAAATCCACAGAGAAAAACCTCAAAACTACAGTGTCAACAGACTTCAAAAAGAAAAAAATTTGATGCTGATGTATCATCCATATCTGTCTCCTTTTAAATAGCACAAGGCTGGAAAAGGAGAGAAAAGATATAAGAAGCACTTGGGGCCAGATATACAGTACTTTCTCATACTTTTTGATATTCTTACAGGAATTTAGCCCTGGAAAGGAGGAAATTTATTTGTTTAGAAGCTACCCTCAGACCTTCCTATCCCCTACATAAATGCCCTCAGTTTAAAGCTTCAATATACTAATATCCATCAGTGCAAATATAATCCAAAATATATTGCACTCGATTAATGTACTCCCTCATCCCACTGAACCCACAGATCTGTTGTTTGCAAAACTGGAACAAATTTGGGAAATAATTTGATAGAATCATCATCTGGGCTGATTCTTAATTTGTAATTGTCTTGGGCAGTGAGGAGGCTTTTGCTGGTATGCAGGAGTGATTTTTCCTTTCCAAACTGTTGCTCTTCAAGTAACAGTTTTACTTTGGGCAACATTATTAGTGAGGATGGTCTTCTGTTTCCTAATAATTTCCTTCATCTGCCAAATCTCCTTAATGTATGCACAACTGATGGTGATATTTCCATATCTGTGAACATATTAAAAACTCAAAGCTTAAAATATTAATACTAGAATTAATAGAAAATTAATAGGAAAAAAAACGAAGAAAACATAAAGCTTTAAAGTTTCAAAACAAGGTCAGCAAAGTTAAGAATGTGCTTGTTAGAAAATTCTCATAAGCAAACAGACTTGGAAAATTCAGGAATTGTTAGCATTGTAACTCTGGCTGTTCAGTTTAGTAAGGGAACTCACAGTTGGCTGTTTACAGTGGTAATTAATATGAGATCTCTCTCACCTTCTCTAGAGCATATATTACAGTGTGAACATCTGCCTGTGACTTACATGCTGTCCAAGATACTCAGAAGACAATCTAGGAAGAATAAAGAAGTGAATCCTTCATCCTGCTTGTTGGAATAAGGATCCTTAAGATGTGAGACAAGGGCACAGAGATCTGCTCACCTAATTTGCATTTAAATTGGGGGTCATTAAGCACCAGACACTTATGTAAAGACATTGATGTAAACCTTATTATTTATGTTTATAAATACTTCGAGTTTCTATTAAGTATACTCTATTTCCAATATAAATTAGTCTAATTTTACTTTCCAGTTTTAGATTGTGTAACCTCATTGCCTTTTAATCTAAAACCCAGTTTAAGAAATCTTCTCACCTTATAATCAAAGAATGTTTCTTCTTTTTGT